CTGCCGGTCGCTCACCTCTCCGCCCCACGACGTAAGAGGCACTCGCCGCCCCGTAGTTGTTCCGGCAGACCGTGTCCACCTCAGCCCGTTTCTGCTCCATGAACTCTGTCTGGCCATTCCAGTACTCGGCAGTAGCCTCACCCAGGGTTCTCCCCTCACTCCACTTCCCCCCCTTTTCTATCCCCTCACGCCTCAGCTACTCCCTGCCCTTTTCTCTCCTCTTGCTGCTGCTCCTTCCTGCCCTTTTCTCCCCTCACACCACTCCCTGCCCTTTTGTCCCCTCACGCAGGTGCCACTTTGCACCCTTTTCTCCCCCCTCATGGTGCTGCCACTTCCCACCCTTTTCTCTCCCCTCAAGCCTCAGCCGCTCCCCACCCTTTCCTCCCCTCGCGCCATTGCTCCTTCCCGCCCTTTTCTCTCCCCTCACACCACTTCCCGCCCTTTATTCTCTCCTTATGCCACTGCCACTTCCCTCCCTTTCTTCTCCTCGTGCTGCTGCTCCTTCCCACCCTTTTCTCTCCCCTCACACCACTTCCCGCCCTTTTCTCCCCTCACGCCACTGCAGCTTCCCACCCTTTGCTCACACTGCTGCCACTTCCCACATTTTTCTCCCTCTATCATGCTGCTGCCACTGCCTGCCTTTTTCTCCCCCAACGCCACTTCCCGCCCTTCCCTCCCCTCACGGCCCTGCTCCTTCCCACCCTTTCCTCCCCTCATGCTGGTGCTCCTTCCCCCCTGCTTAAGTCCCCTCACGCTGTTGCCACTTTGCACCCTTTCCTCCCCCCCCCACAGTTCTGCCACTTACCGCCCTTTTCTCCCTGTGTGCTGCTGCTTCTCCTCCAGCTTTTCTTCACTCGTGTTGCTGCCACTTCCCACTGTATTCTCCTTCCCTCGTGCTGCTGCTCCTCCCCACACTTTTCTACCCCCTCATAGTGCTGCTGCTCCCCGCCCTTTTCTCCCCTCACACCACAGCCACTTCCCACCCTTTTCTCACCTCACGCTGCTGCCACTTTTCCACCTTTTTCTCCCTCCCTCATGCTCCTGCAGATCTCTGCCCTTTTC